GGTCTGCAAACACAGATGGTATCGATGCACCGTTCCTAGTAATAGAATCGTTCTTAACAATAGACCATTTGTTATGTGCTCATCTACGTGTCCGGGTTTGGCCGTCACCCTCTGGTAAAAACTCAGTAACGGGGAACTCGTTATAGCTCCTTTGTCAGGATCCCTGGGGAACGTCAGTGTTTCTGTCTCGTAGGAGCCCTTCTGGCTCGGACCCCCAAGAGCCCACCTACTACAACGTGCCAGCCTGCCTAGAAATGCAGCCAGTGTACAGCAATGGTAGGACCCAGGACACCACCTCGGGCAGGGCCCCCGGGGGGTGGCCTGGGAAGGGAAGGGGTGGTGCCGAAGCCTGGAGGCTGCAGTCCCTCCAGAGAACAAGCCCCTGCGGGGTGGGGAGGCATGCAGACAAGAGCTTCAGAGTCCTCTCAAACTTGAACTTCTTTCCTAGTAAATCCGAAAGGAGGAGGAGACGTGGTGTACTCGGAGGTCTGCAGCGTCCAGGGCAGAAACAAACGCGCTGGTAAGAGCTGGAGACCTCCCTTTGGAGTCAACTGCCCTGTGCAGCTCAGACCCACCCCTTCCTCAGCCCCGGGCCACCAGACTCAGCGCCACCCCTCACGGGTCACTGGGCTTCTTAGCTTGTGCCCACCGGCACCGCGGGGCTCACCCAAGCCCAGCAGGTGTCTTGGTCTAAAATGAGGCAGCCACTTAGCCCCTCTGTGCCTCAGTGTCCCCGTCTGTAATGACACAGGGCTGTCATTGCCTGCCCACCTGACTGCCTTCCTTGCTGTGACAAAGGACGCAGGCTTGGTGGGATTAAACGGCACGTGTGTTACCTTACTGTGCTGTGCGTCAGACGTCCGACACATGCCTCCTGGGCCACAATCCGTGTCACCAGGGCTGGTTCCTGCTGGAGGCTCCAAAGCAGCCTATGCTTTCAAAGGACGCCCGTTTGCATGGCGCACGGCCTCCTTTCTGCACCTTCAAGGCCAGAAAGCTGGCATCTGTCTCACTGTTCTCTCACGGTCAGTTCTCCCTCTGACCAGCTTTGACCAATCAAAGGTTCTCTGATGTTAAAGTTCTCCTTAAAATCGCGCCCGGACAATCCAGGATACTCTCGCCGCTTCAGGGTCCCGAATCTGAGTCACACGGGCCAAGTCCCTTCTTCCCCCAAAGGCCATAGAGTCACAGGTTGAGGGACTGCACGCGGGCCCTTGGGGCCTGACTCTGCCTGCACTGTGTCCTAGGCTGTCGTGAGGATAGA